AGTTCCCTCTTTTAAGAGTAACGGTTGTAGAGAAAATTCTACAAAAAATATGAAATCAAAAGGTAAGTATTGAACGAGCAAATCAAAAGGGATATGCCATATTTGAGAACCCAACTTAGTAACTTAACACTAAGCCCAAACACAGCAAGTGAAGGGCTAGGGGGTGAGAGGGCGAGAAAGAGAGACGAATACGAGAAAGAAACATAAGTTAGGAGGAATGAGGAATGGCTCTAGGGTAATATGACAAAGCATAAGTTATCCTAGAGCCATTCCTCATTCCTCCTAACCATAGTCTAAAATATCAATAATATCGATGAAATATCGAAAATATTATTGTTTTTTCAGGTCAATGATATTTTGGAACGTATTCATACACATATTGTATAAATATCAATAATATCAACAATAATATTGGAGAATATCAATGTCGATCACTTCAGAAACATTTGGCCAAATTATCGTTATAATATTGATAATATCGAGATTACAAAGACAATGAAAATTTTGAAGAGTTATTGTTATATCCCGGGATCGGCTCTGCCGTAGCACGATATTGTCTGCTTTGGGCCCCCCTCTCTGCCCTCACGGTTCTATTTCTGGGAACTCACGAGCAACTTCCCAATGGGTCACACATCCTAAGATTGCTTTAGCCCCAACTCGCTTAACTTTGGAGTTCCCATGACTCCAAAGCCAGTGAGCTCCCAAAAGGCCTCGTGCTAGATGGAGGCGGGCATGTACATGTAAGGCATATCACCCCCTCTCCGTTGGTTGATGTAGGATGTTACAATCCACCCCCCTTAGAGACCCGACGTCCTCATCGTCACACTCGCATCACATGGCAGAGTGACTTTGATACCAAATTGTCACATCCCGGGATTGGCTCTGCCGTAACATGATATTGTCCGCTTTGGGCTCCCCTCTCTACCCTCACGGTTTTGTTTCTTGGAACTCAATAGCAACTTCCCAGTAGGTCACCCATCTTGGGATTGCTTTAGCCCCAACTCGCTTAACTTCGGAATTCCCATGACTCCGAAGCCAATGAGCCCCCAAAAGGCCTCATACTAGATGGAGGCGCTCATGTACATATAAGGCACATCACCCCCTCTCCGTTGGTCAATGTGGGATGTTATAGTTATTTACAATAACACCCCCTGAGGTTTCTTGTGTTTTCACAAAATCACCTAAGATCTCAAAATTACACGAACAACCCCTGAGGTTTCAATTTGTTTTCACAAAACCCTCTTTTGTTGCTTATTTGTCTAAAAAAATGGATTATTTCATTGAAAAAAAAAATTTAAGCAAATGACAAAATTAACCTCAATGAAGTATATGCAATCTAATCATCAATCTTTGGATGAAAAATCAATGAAAATGAGTTTTGTGAAAACAATTTAAAATCTCAGGTGGTGTTCTTCTAATTTCTAAAACCTTAAGGAGTTTTGTGGAAAAGCCGAAAACCTCAGAAGGTGTTAGTGTAAATAACTCAAATTTGAACTGTATAGGAACTCTATGTGGTACTAAATCACTTATGTATCTTACCATACAATGTATAAAGTATAAAATATTGTAGTAAATCATTATAAATAAATGACTATGGTTTGTTTAATCTTCTTTCATCAATTACTACATATTTTCTACACTCGCAGTGTTTGTCGGCTCGCTATATAATCAACTTAAATCAGTTAAACCCATTATGCGATGCATTTACTTCCAATTTTTTGTGATAAAAGCATGGTCTAAAATATTAATGGCTTCGGAAATATCGATAGTCCAAAAACAGGGAAATTTCGATGGAAATATCGGAGTATTATCAATATCGACAAAAATTGAATAAAAACCACGGAAATTGTAAGAAAAGCTTGAAACAATTTCTTGAAACTTTGGAGGATGTTTGTTTAGTCAATTATCCATTACCTTATCAAAAAAAAATAAAAATTAGAAGGAAATGCATTATATGATGTGTTTAACTTATTTAAGTAGATTATATAGCGAGTTGACAAATGCTGCGAGTGTAGAAAAAATGTAGTAATTAATGAAAGGAGATTAAACACACCATAATAATTTATTTATAATGATTTACTACAATATTTTGCACTTTATATATTGTATGGTAAGATACATGAGTGACTTAGTACCACATGGAGTTCTTATAAGGTTTAAATTTGAATTATTTACTCTAACACCTCATGAGGTTTTTGGTTTTTTCACAAAACTCTTTAAGGTTTTAGAAATTACAAGAACACCCCACGAGGTTTTAAATTATTTTCACAAAACTCCTTTTCATTGATTTTTCATCCAAAGATTGATGATTTTATGCAAAATATATATATATATATATATGTATATATATTTCTTTAAATGACAAAGTTGGCCTTTGAGATTAGATTGCATATACTTCATTGAGGTTAATTTGTCATTTGCATAAGTTTTTTTTTTCTCAATGAAATCATCAATTTTTGGACAAACAATTAACGAAAAAGGGTTTTGTGAAAACAAATTGAAACCTCAAGGGGTGTTCATGTAATTTTTGAGACTTGATGGGGTTTTGTGTAAATATAAGAAACCTTAGGGGGTGTTAGTGTAAATAACTCTTCAAATTTTTCATTGTCTTCATCATCTCAATATTATCGATATTATAACGATATTTTGGCCAAATGTTGCTGAAGTGTGAGAAATTATAGACATCAATATTTCCGATATTATCGATACTTGTACAATATGTGTATGGATATGTTCCAAAATATCTTAGACTCGAAAAAAAGATAATGTCCTCGATATTACGTTGATATTATCGATATTTTAGTCCTTGCTCTTGTATGGGCTTTTTCGTTCCAGCAGCTGCAAATGGGCCTGGACTATTGTAAAGAGCAATGGATGAAGTTGCCCCTATGCCTGAGTTCAAGAATCAAGACCTAAGAGTGCTTCGAAAAGTTCGTGGAGTCGTAGGAAGCACTTTGGTTTCACCAACAAGACAGACAACTGTTTACAAATCAATATCATGGTTTGGCCTAAGGAGTTTGTGGCATGGGAGCTAAGCCTCCATGAGTTTAATATTAGAGAGAGAGAGAGCTTGGATTTCTTATTGAAAACAAAGGTTCAGAGCAAGGGGAGAGGGAAATTTAGGAAGATTTGATGAGTGAAGAGAGGGAGAGATGGGGATAAAAGGGATGGGTGGCTTGAGAAGATTTTCCAGCAGCTTGACGATTGCTTGGTCGTGCTCTGGATGGTTGTTTTGCTGGGTAGGAGGTGCCTCTTTTTATAGGCGCTAGAAGCCCCTTCTGGTTTAGGAACCCTAGCTGACTTTCCCCAAATTTTGCCAAGTCTTCTCCTCCATTTCCCTTCACTTCCTTCAATTCAATCCTTTTTGGTGAAAATTCCTTAATCCAAGCATTTTGGGGCTCCAAGGTTTTCCTGCAGCTGACTTCTTCCATCTTGGGTGAGGCTCCTCTTGTTTTTCCTCTTGGTTTTCCTACCAAAGCTTGTAGAGGAAAGAATGGATAAGGGTGCTGGTCTAAAAGGTGTCTTACTCCCAGCAGCCTGTGCATATGGGTTTCACTTGGTTTCAACGATGTCTTGGTTTTAATAGGGTGCTGAGATATTTTCTAAGGTGTTAGGCTATCTCTCTAAGGTGCTGAGCTATTTTTTCTCTCTTATGGTTACTTATATATTTGGGCTCAAGAAATGGGCTTGAGTTTGATGCTCCCAAGTAGCCCAAAACTTCCACTTATTAGACCATCAATGGGCCTCATGAGCACTCGTAACCATCCATACCACAACCTACTCAGCAAGCCCTAGGCATTTGCATATCATAACTTGTGTAAGCGCATACGACAAATTCCTGCATACCCCAGTTGGTCTTCCTTCTCGATTTGGGCCCAGCCTTGTATTTTTCAGGCCTCAACAGCTCCTAACTACACAACTACTACACACCAGCCCCTATGAATCCCTCTTAGGTTGCTGCAATTGGTCCACCTATTCCTCCTGCAAATGGTGGAAAAAATCATGGAGGAGCACGGAGCTTGCATATGAGAGTATATTGGCAGTTGTCAATCTATAATCATCGAAGCCTTGCTTTTCTCCTTTCAAAATAAAATTTTCCCCTGGCCAGATGGATAGTTTGATGCTAATTTTAATATTATTGGTGGATTTGTTAAGTTCTTTGGGCTTCCACTCTCATTTTACATTGTGTTTTGTAGGATTTGCAGTGAAAAAATTTACCTTACAGTTACTCTGTGTATAATCTTCTCCAAATTACGAGGCCATATATCTTCTTTTGTTGTAGTGTGTTGCACCTTGCAAGATAAATTTTTTTATATAAAAAAAATAGGGAATTCGGGGTGAGTTTGAGAGTCCCTGATGGAGAGGGGGATGGGGTCAGGTCAGGTAATACAATTTTTACAAATTTATAAATAAACCAAATTCTAAACATGTATTTATAAAAAAACTCAAACACTATTTAAATATAAAAACACACCCAAAATCAACCACAAAATCAACAATTGTATATTTTTTGGGTGTGTTTATAAATGGGTTTTGAGTGTGTGTAATGATGGATTTTGGGTGTATTTATAAAGTGTTTTGGGTGTTTGGTTTTTTTATAATTTCAACCCCCATTTTGGGTGTTTTAGTGAAACTCCCTACAATTTTTGACAATATATCATCATCATCCCTACAGGTGTGCAAGGTTGTGGTGATGATATATTGTCAAAAATTATAAATGATGTTAAATTATACAATTCTTTTTGTGTGCAGGAAAAAAGTTCCTACATGTTCTTTTTTTGGTACAAGCTATTGTAGGATGGAGTTTATAAAAATATTCATTGGGAGTAGAGGTGAAAGAAATCAAGCAATTGAGCTATACCTCGCTGGCAAATTCCGTCCATGTTATTTATTAGGTTTAGGTATAGGTTATATATGGTTAATAGGAAGTTGATATACAAGTAAAACCCCGTGTATAACGAGCAGATAAAATGTGAATATATGTAATAGGACATCAAACATATTGTGGGAATAACAACACTAAACCCTACCCCAAGTGAATTACAATCACCACAACGACATGTATAAGGTTGTCACAACAATTGCCACAACATCTACTATATTTGAGTCGAATACCCGTAAAAAGTTATTGAAATGTTATTTTGACAGAGTTAGCTTAGAACTGATAGAGTACAATTGAAACCAGAGACAGTCCATTAACAAACTAATCTAAACTACACAAAACATCTCCAAAGCAGTCGAATTTGCAGCAGCAACTATTGCTGTAAGCATTCCGAGTTTCGCAGAACCATTGCCTTGCCACTCAAGGAATTCACAGCTTCTTTATAACCTTCAAAACCAACTGTGTTGCTACGATTGTCAGAGGACAGACAAAATGAAAAAAGAGCAAAAGATGACAAGATCAGATAAAACATACAATTACTGGAATCTGCTAATCTAGTCTTAATGGAATGGCTTGCCAAAGCTCACATATGAAATAATAAAGGATAAAAAAAAAGGGGGGGATCTAAAAGAGAATTCAAACTACATTGGGATAGTTCAATTAAAAAGTAAGAATAGGAAAGTTCAAATTCTAAAACCGTTGTTTCTTCCTCAACACCACATCAATAATCTCCATTACATATGTTAACTAATTTCTCATTTGCACCAGCAGCATATACCCCTACTAAAAAGGTATATCCTAGAGGTTATAAAGTATTTAAAAGGTGCACAGAAAGATGAAATGTGTACCATATATAATAACATCTGCATAATCACTACAGCATAATGTAATGGGAAAGAACTTACCGTAGTGTTGATACCCATGCTCTAGCTGCACCAGGAGTCTCTGCACAAAGGAAGTAGTCTTTTGTCAGTGCGGTCCCAATATATAAAGAATAAAATTAAGGTTAAGGAGCATGCGAGTTCAGAACCCAATCCAGTTTTACAAGAATGTTTTCTATGGCAGTTAAAAGATACTACCTCATTTTCATTTCTACATAACCAAAATACTAGATACTGAAACAGGATCCATCACACTTTGGCATCCCACCAAAAACCCAAATGGAAAAAGAAGCCATGTAAATCATTATTGAAATTAGCATCTCCAGCATTGCCAAATACAAAAAAATGCACGTAAATTATGATATATAAAACTAATGGAATCATGTATATCACGATTTGTGTATTGTAGAATCATACATAAAAAATAATAATAATAAATCCCACTTGGTTTAGTCAAGGTCAGGTCAAGACACAAGGCGTGAGATACGAAATACTCATAACTAGCACAAGAGTTATTGGCTGTTGCTGTCAATTTCTTAACAAAATCACATAAAGAAACCATGTAAGCAATATGATTAATCTAAGCTAAAAAAGGCTTTCTAATAAATACAAAATAATTTAAAGAAAGGAGCAGAATGTGATACCGAAGGAATTTTGCAGTATCAGAAGAATCTCAAATACCAATTTGGAAACCAAAACAGAAAAAAAGCAAAATTCTTAGCAGAACAAACCCAAAATGTCAACCAAATCCAATTCAAAGACTTCACACTTGAGAATCTCAATTGAAGCAAAACTGACCTAACTAACCTATTTCCTTGACCTAATGAAATAGCCCGGAAAGACATCCATCATTTTAATATACACAAACAGGAAAGCACAAACCAAACAGAGGGAAAACCCACCATAAAAAGTGACTAAATTACAAAAGTGAAACCCAAGAACCATAATACAGAGGATATATTGCTAACCAAAAATCCCAAAATCAGCCTTAGAGAAAACACAAGCAAACAAAGAGGTATTCCACTCTAATACATGTAAATCTCAACTAAAAGCTGGAGGAATTCAATAAACCAAGAATGCATCACACAAACTTTCTCATGCAGAGGCACATCGTGACTGTGTATATGTATACTTGCACATTATATGTTAAGGACGATGAGGATGACTACGACCTCCAGCACAAAAACCGCCAGCACCCACCAACACTACATCACACAAACTTCGCAAATTTTATACAATTCTACAGACAAGACTTTTATGGGAAATTAAAAAAAGGAAGGGATTATTAGAATCAACTTCTAAGAGAACATGGTAAGCTCTATAACCTAAAACTATTGTATTATAGGGTGGCATTGTTCACAAAACTACCTTAACATATCCCTCTGCTACACCAGACAGTCTTCTTGCCACACTAAACAAAAATGGAATTTTGTGATTAAATTCCTTTTCTCTTCGCAACCTAATGTCTTCTTTCTGTCCATTATGTATTAACTACTAGACTTCACCATACATACAAGGAATCCTATCATAGGCAATCCATAGACAAAAAATTACCAACGTATGTACCACGGCCCCAAAAAAAGAGAAGCACTGAGCGGGGCATAGCAGTTTGTAACTGTAATTATAATGAAGCTAATGTTAATGGCATACACACAAAATCAAAATCTCCGGGATATCATCATAGAGAGTGATTTAAAGAAAGAAACAAACAATCAATCTAGCAAAGGGAAAGGTACCTCTGATTCTCCTCCTCAATGTCGATTGTGGGGGTGTGGTTGTCAACTAAGCCTGGGTGCCGCTCAAGGCTTTCATCTGAATGTGGTTGTTGTGGTCAGAGGAGGGAGCAGCGTTGGGCAAGGCCTCGTAAGAACCCAATCTGCGGATGCCAACAGACTTGGAAACGACGGCATAGGTGACCATGACAATGAGCAAGACGAACATGACATGGACCAAGAACACCAAATCCAGAATGGCCACGGCCCTGAAGCGGGACTCGTCGAGGTCGCACTTGGTGGAACCCTCGACCCCACTCACCACATCCAGCAGCCTGTGGCATCCCTCCGGGATGAACGCCTCCACATACAGCGACAGCCCCGTCTGCAACACCCACAGCCCCTGCAGGCACATGGCCGCCCCCAATCCCACATCTGCCACAAACAACCTCGGCTGGCATGCCAACACCACGCACAGCCCTGATGCCACCGCCGAGATCCGACCCGACACCGAGTCACACTTGGCCTGCAGATCCGACATCTGCACCGAAGCGGCACCCCACGAGACCAGGCACTGTAGGTAGAAGAGGGCGGCGGCCAGGCCAAAGACGAGATCGGAGGGCAGTGGCAGCACAGATGGAGCCCATTCCGAGAGCAGCAGAGCGAGTGTAAGCAGCAGAAACAGGAAGAGGGAGGCTGCGGACTGCAGAGAGGTGAACCGGTGGACGGGGGTACGGCCCTTGAGGAGTGGATCGGCGTCGAAAGAGGTGAAGGTCTGGTGGGCGACGGCAACCATGAGGAAGGCAATGACGGCGTAGAGCTGCAAGTACCTGAGGCGATGATGATTGGAAGACGAAGACGAAGAGGAGGAGAAAGGGAAGGGGTGGTAGGGCTTGGCGGCGTACGACTGTGGGGACTTGAGGTGGTTGCGGGTGGTGGCCACCATGTGGTAGAGTCCCAGTGACACCAGTGCTGAGGACGACAATATCTGGTACAGTAGAGCTGCCATTTCAATCTCTCTCTCTCTCTCTCTCTCTTTTCCCTTCCCTTGGAGGAGTCTAAAGTAAACAAATAACAGCAAAAGCAGCAGCATCCAATTTTAATTAATTAAAACCAAACAGGATAGATAGATACAGAGGAATTGCAGTGCAGAGGCATGCATAAATTAAATGAGAGACGGCCAAAGGTCAAAGTAAGAAAGCAAATTAAATCTAAATCTCCAAGATGGCAGATCGATGATCAATCATACATACAATTAGCATTTAGCATCAATCCTATAGATAGATAGATCAGGAATGAATCATTATACGAACAAAATCAAATCATATAATTAATTAATTAATTAAAGAAGAACAAGAGAAAATGAAAAGAAAAGCTGAAGAAACGAAGTTAGGAGGAGCTCCGGAGCTGACTTACCTCTCTCTCGGAAAAGTTGAAATTTCGATCGAGGCTGGATAATTCACAGCGGATCCAAATTCTGAGGCTGAGGGGGGTTTTTCATTTTCCTTGTCTTCTAGTTTTCCTCCTTGGGTAGATGGGTTCCGAAGAGAAGAAGAAGAAGAAGATAATCGACTGGAGATGGGAGATTTGAGGTTTAGAGATGAATGCCCAGAAAGAAAGAAGAGATCAGAAAGGCCAAACGGTGGGCAATGAAAGAAAGAACCAAGGAATCAATGATGTGCCTTATTTTTATGGAAGAAGAAAAGACAGAAAAAACCAACTCATAACATGAGAGGGCTGGCTGACGGAGATGGTGGGGTACCGTACAGAACAGAGGTAACTGCGGTGGTGTCGGGTGGGAGGCTGGGTGGGTGCTGTAGCTGCTAGGGGAAGACCATCGAGGTTGGGTGGGTTTTGTTTTTAAATTTTTATGTTCGTCCTACCAAGTTCTTCAGGTCTGCGCATCTATGGTTCTCTGTTTTTATTTTTTTATTTTATTTTTATTTTTATTTATTTTAATGTTTTAAATGTGCCTTGCTTAATATTTGAACCCTAAAGTAATATCAAACCAATCAAAAACTTAAAAAATAGTATGATACGATGTTATTCGGAGTGCACCAAATATAGTATAATTTAGTCATACTACTTACCCAGAATATTATCAAACGCCTTATAATATTATAGATAATAATGTAGGAACATATATTTCGGCAACAAATGAGCTGATGATACGTGGAAAATGGAAATTCTCTAGGTCAATTAGTTACTTTAATTAAATCCTATTTAATTAGGGAAATTATAATTGATTTAATATGGGAATATCTCTCTAAATCAAGGATGAGATTTCCACCAAATATCCTTGATTAATTCTAATCTCCTATTTTTGGGTCAGAATAATCCTAATTAAATAAGGATTATTCTTCAAATCCTAATTCCAAAAACCCTAGAGAAATCACTCTCTTTCTTTCGTCGCCCATCTCATTTCTCTCTCCTCACATAGTTAAGTGCCACCCGACTCTCCTCATGAGAGAAAACTCCATCCATTTTAGCTATTGTCGTATCTTTATCAAGTTGTCATTGTAGCCGAGATTGACAAGCTCCTAACTGCCAGCTTCATTAAAGAAGTTTCCTACACAGAGTGGCTGGCTAACGTTGTCCTGGTGGCTAAGAAAGACCAAGGTAATTGGAGAGTGTGCTTAGACTACACTAACCTTAACAAGGCATGTCGGAATGACAATTTTCCACTGTCAAGAATTGAACACCTTGTAGATTCAATTTCCAGTAACCAACTACTAAGCTTCATGGATGCGTACACCGACTACAATCAAATCATGATGCATGGGGACAATAAAGTAAAGACTTCTTTCATAATTGAAAGAGGTACATATTGCTACAAAGTCATGCCATTTGAGTTGAAGAACGCCAGAGCAAAATACTAAAGGCATGTGAACAAAATTTTCAAAGAGCAGATCAGTAAGACTATGAAGGTCTACGTAATTGACATGCTAGTCAAAGCTCACCAAACGAGCATATCACATTAAGAATCTTATCGAAACCTTCAGTCTGCTCCATAAGTACTGCAAGAAGTTGAATTCGAGCAACTGCACATTTGAAGTCTCATCTGGCCTATTTTTGGGATACATAGTCACCCAAAGAGAAATCAAAGCATATCCAAATCAAATTAAGGCTACCCTAAATATGAAGTCGCTTGCCACAATGAAGAGACACAAAGTCTAACAGGCAAAGCAGCAGCTCTCAACCTATTCCTTTCAAGATCCACCAACAAATGCAGGTCATTCTTCAAAGCCTTAAAGAAAGGTTAAAGAGACAAGTGAGATGAAGAGTGCGAAGTAGCTTTTCAAAATTTGAAGACCTACCTCACTTCATCTCCCCTGCTCTCAAAACCCGTATCAGGCAAAGATTTTTTCATCTAGCTGGCGGTGACTCAGCTGTGAGCTCAGTTCTCATCCGAGAATAGTTGGGGGTACAACATCTAATTTTCTACACGTCGAAAGCCCTCCTCGATGCAGAGACCCTCTATCCGAAAATGGAAAGGCTCATTTTGTCCCTTGTAAATCCCACAAAAAAGTTAAGACCCTACTACCAAGCTCACCGAATCATCGTCATGACAAAATTCTCTTTGAGATCGATTTTTCATAATCCCAATGCTTCTTAGTGACTCATGAAGTGGGCTATCAAATTGAGTCAGTATGACCTCCTCTACTAGCCGAAGGCTGCCATAAAACCCAGGCTTTAGCAAATTTTGTTGCAGAGTTCACTTCATCAGCGAAAGAAGATAAGCTGGTCAACAGATTCAAGGAAAGTTCAAGAGCAGACGGGACCTCTTCTGTCGATCTTGACATGTCCAAAGACGTGTGGCAGTTGTTCATAAACGAAGAGTCAAATCACAAAGGAGCTGGAGTAGGCATCATTATAATCACCCGAAGGGAACCTTATTGGAGCAAGTCATCACATGGGTTTTCCAACCTCAAATAACGAAGTAGAGTGCGAGGCGCTGCTAGCTGGCTTACGAGAGGAAAAGAGTTGTTGATCAAGAGGCTAGCCATCTACTCAAATTCCCAACTTATAACCAATCAAGTGTCAGAGGAGTACATGGCGAAACACCCAATCATGATTCAGTACCTAGACAAAGTCCCAGAGCTTTTGAATATATTCTCTACCTTCACCATCCAACAAGTTTCCCAGGCAGAAAATACACATGCAGATGCACTGGCAAGCCTAGGATCAGGGCTGGACACCTAATTTAGACATTCAATTCTAGTTGTGCACATTGATCAACCACGCATCAAAGAAGAAGAGCAGCCGGACCTGATGCATATCGATGAGGATCCTAGCTAGCAATACCTTATCATCAACTACTCTGTAAACAAAAATTTGCCCAGGGAGAAGTGCGAGGCTAAAAAAAATCAAGCAGAAAGCTACAAGATATTACATGAATGACAACAAGCTTGTTTGAATTTCATATTCTGGTCCTCATCTCACCTGCATCAAGTACCTGCAAATTTTCGAAATGCTTTGTAAAATCCAGGATAACGAATGTGTAAATCATGCTACGGGCAGGTCACTAGCTTAGAAAGCTCTCAACATAGGCTACTTCTGGCCTACCATGCGCCACGACTCTATAGAGTATGTCAAAAGATGTGATCGGTAACAACGCTACAAGCCAGTCCTAAGTTTACATGACGAAGTGTATCATTTGCAGAACAACCCATTGCCATTCATGCACTGGGCCATCGACTTAGTGGGTCCCATGCATCAACAGTTGCCAAGAACGACATGATGATCGTCGCCACCGACTACTTTAGTAAATGGATCGAGACCAAAACTCTATCATCTACTAAAGAAACCGACATGGAATGATTTATCTAGAGAAACATCGTCTATCGGTTCGACTGCCCACAATCGCTGGTCACTGACAACGAATCGCAATACATCGGCAAACAGATGATAAAGTCCACTCCACTTCAGTTTAAAGAAAGTTCGAGTTTTTCAAAGAAGTGTTTGAGAGAAGATCCAAAGCATTATAAAGGAGATGCATGACAAAACGTCCTAAGGGCGACATATGCAAACTGCATAAACGTCCTAAGAGAGACGTAGGCAACCTGCCAAAACGTTCTAAGGGAAACGTAAGCAACATCCAAAATGTCCTAAGAGAAACGTAGGCTACCTGCCAAAATTTCATAAGGGAGACATAGGCTACAACCAAAACGTCTTAGGGGAGACGTAAGCTATAGCTAAAACGCCCTAAGGGAGACGTAGAATACCTACCAAAACATCTTAAGGGAGATGTAGGCCACATCCAAAACTTCCAAAGGGAGACATAGGTTACATGCCAAAACATCCTAAGGGAGATATAGGAAACTGCCAAAATGTCCTAAGGGAGAAGTAGGGAAACTGCCAAAACTTCCTAAGGGAGATGTAGGCTAATTGCCAAAATGTCCTCAGCGAGATGTAGGTCAACTGCCAAACTATCCTAAACATCTCATAAAACGTCCTAAGGGAGACGAGGCCAATTGCTAAAACGTCTTAAATGAGACATAGGCCAACTGCAAAAATGTCGAAAGGGAGACGTAGGCCAACTACCAAAAATTCCTAAGGGAAACTTATGCCAACTACCAAAAAGTCCTAAGGGAAACTTATGCCAACATCCAAAGCATCCTAAGAGAGAAGAAATACAATATCCAAAGCATCCTAAGGGAGATACAGAGAAGCACCCTTTAAGTAACAGGTGGATAAATATTCTAGCATCCTAAAGGAGATGCCCAACCAAGAGGCCAATAGGTCCACTCAAGAGACAATTCACACAGTTGCCCAACCAAGAACGCCAGCATGCTACGAAAAGAGGTCAGCATACCTAAAAAGAACAGGAATCAATAGATCCAGAAGTTCAGGTATATTAGTGAGAAGTCGATAGGCCAAAATTCAGCAGATCAAATGAAGTGTTCAATCGTGACCAATACACAAAGCCACAAAGCTACAAAGAAGAAAAGTCTTCATCTACATTGAAACTTCATCAGCTGCAACCACCCACTTATCAGCCTCAGCTACATGCTTATCAGATGTAGCCATCTACTCATCAGCCTCAGGTACCTGCTCATAGGCTGCATCCTGCTTATCAGTTGCAACCACCTACTTGTTAGCTTTGGCTACCTTTTCCACAACATCATCCTTAGCCTCATCAGTTGCGCCCTCCATTGCTTCATCCTCCTCAACTGCAGACTCATCAGCCATCGTCTCACCAACTGCCCGTTTCTCAGCCGTATATGTATCTGTGATGGTATCCTGCTCACCTCAAGTGGAAGATCGAGTTAACCATCCAAGTCAAGACCATGATGTTTCCATCTCTCAATATCACTAGATGGAGGCAGACCACCTTCTTATTTTCATGGCCTGAAAAACTTTAGCCATGTACGGCTCTAGATCAAACTTTTTACTAATCTCCTCAACCACAAGTAAAAGACAAAAGTCAGTTGGTCACAAGAACTCACATATAACCAAAAAAAAAAATTATATGCGAGTAAAGCAGATCAACAATTCTAGACTTATCATAGCAAGACATTGCACTAGCCAGCCAGCATAGCCCAAGGCATGGCCCAAACCACATGGCAAGCCATGGCCTAAGTCGCACAAGGTAGCATGTCACAATCCAAACAGGCCCAAGACTGCAGGAATAGCCCATAGTCTTGGCAGCCCAACAGAGAAAAAGAAGAAGGTAGCCATAGGCAAGTGATGGCCACAGTCGACAGCAACCGGCCAACTGGTCCTCACCGTGAAGAAAAAATTGAAGAAAAATAAAAACCCTAGTGTGACTTATCTTGGTGTGCATGGAAATTCCTCTCCTCAACAAGTAGTACAATTCTCTAAGATCTCTCTCACAAGCTAGAAAGCAAAGGAAAGCAAGTTTGCGATATTAAGAGGAGCGAAGAGAAGCCTTGCATTTACAGCAGTTGGGTATCCTTGACCAACAAGGAGTCACAAGCCTATTCCCAAGAGTCCAACTCATAATTGGAAGCTCAAACACAATTGGAAAGCCTGAAGAGTATTTCACATCTCCTCCCTGCCACATACGCGCCATGCAGAAGCTATGAGGCATTTGTGGGAGCATATATTTCAGCGACCAATGAGCAGATGACACGTGGAAAAGAGAATTTTCCTAGGTCAAATAGTTACCCTAATTAAATCTTATTTAATTAGGAAATTATAATTTATTTAAGATTAGAATATCTCCCTAAATCAAGGATGAGATTTCCACTGAATCTCCTTGATTAATTCCAATCTCCTATCTTTAGGTAAGAATAATCCAAATTAAATAATGATTATTCTTCAAACCCTAGCATACAAGGTGCCTATAAATACATGGCTACATAAGGCATTCAAGATAAGTGCCACCACACATGGCTAAGGCCACTCGGCTTACCTCGTGAGAGAAAACTCCATTTACTTTAGCTATTGTCATGTCTTTATCAATATCAAATCGAACTAACTTAGGCATCGGAGTGCCTTTGGCTAACACCCCCCAGGTGTGGTCTATTTTCTCCAATTTATTTTGTAGGGATCGAAGAAGAAAGAGAAGGAAGATCAAAGATCGAAGAATAAATCCGTGATTCCTTGTGCAGATTTTTTGTTCAAATAGATAAATAGTCACTACTCTCTAGAATAGATTAATACTATCCGACAGAAATTAGTTAGTACAGTCCGACGTACCAAACGAGCTCTTAGGTTCTGCCCAAAAAAAAAAAAAAACTTAAAAAGGGAATAATAACTACTCAAACTATGAACGAGAATTCGCTTGCAAATGAGTGGTCTCATGTTCGAATCCCCATCTTGGTAGTGTGTGTGAAGTCTTAGGTCTTAGATTTGAACCCCCATGACATCTTGGTAGTGTGTATGTGTGTGAGAAAACTAAGTTCCCCCACCCCAATATTACGGGTGGGCATACGAACTGCAAACAAGAGAACTAAACATAACCAAACTAAAAAAAAAAAATCGTTTGACCAGAAAAGCAAACAACAACTCAAGAATCGAACTAAACTAATTTTGTCTGGTCTGGTTCACGATTTTGGAATATGAAAATGGTTGATTCACCGAACCAAATGGGCCACAATAAATGGTTAAATGGCACTAAAATTCAAAGATTGAAGCCATAAGGAGTCAAAACCTGACTTGCAACCGCAGACTTCCGTACCAAACCACTACACTAATAAGCGCTTACAACTCTAGAGCAATAAAAAAATAAAAAAATATTATGTGATAATGAGTTAACCTTAGCCGCACCAAACCACTTTTGCAATTGTAATAAGTTAAGAGCATCCACAATGGTAGTGTGTAAAGGTGGATGTATGCTAAATTTACACCTATTACCACTGGAAGTTGCTGTAGTCAGTGGCGGATCTACAGTTGGGTCAGTGGGGTCACACGACCTCTTGGAAGCCATGGAAATAAGCTTAGAGGTCCCTTGAAGCTGCTGGCATGACCTCTTGGAGCTACACACCAAGTGGTCGACGAAATGTCGGAAAGAAGGAAGGGGTTTCAGGCTGAAGTAGAAGGCTGGCACGCACGAGTTTTTTTATTATAAACAAACTGGGCAAAACGACGTCGTTTTGGCCCAGGGAATTTTTTTTAATGACCTGGCCAAAACGACGTCATTTTGGGCTAGGTCAGAATAAAAAAAGACCAGCGTATCCTTCAGCCACTGCTTCTCCACAAACCCGATTCCTCTATTCTAAAACCCCCAATTTTTTTTTTCTCCTCCAACCCTAAGTTCCCAACTCAATCCCCCCCTCCCCCAAACCCTCAACTCCATCTCCTTCCTTAGTACCACCATTGAGGTGCCTTTGTGCTGTCGTCATCGTCACCGTGTGGTGGTGTCGCCAACTACTCTCTTTGTTTTTGCTCATTGTTGCTGTGAAATTTCACAATTCAAGTAAGTTCTAAACCCTATGTTACTATGTATGATATATTTAATTTAATTGAAACCCAATTTATATTTATTTTGATTATATTGTGAGTTTTTATTTTGATTATTTTGTATATGTAGAATATATTTAATTTAATTGAAATCCAGTTCATATTTATTTTGATTATATTGATGGTTTGTTTATATTGTGAGTTTTTATTTTCATTATTTTGTATATGTAGAATTATTATGGAACGGTTTTTTAAGAGAAAGTCATCATCGGGTTCGGGTAGTTTGGTTAATGTTGATTGTTCAAATAATGTTGGTAGTTCAAGAACTCCAAGTTCAAGACAAAGTCAATTAGATGGTGTTTTGGGTAATCTTCAAGCGGACCCTGGATTAAGAACTCGATAGATTATGATGCTAATATGAGAGATGAGGTCGGAAGATCATATCTACAAAAAGAACCTTGTCAACCTAGAGGTCATAATTTCCCACAAACTAATATGTCAAGAATTAATTGACACTTCATTCCTTAATAGTTTGATGAGTTTGATTGGTTGGAGTATAGTATATCTAAAGATACGGCATTTTGTCTCTATTGCTATTTCTTTAAAACCAATTTTGAATAAATGGCAAGTGAAGCTTTCACTGGAGATGGATTTAAGAATTGGAAGAAAGGGAGAGAAAGGTTTAAGATACATGTTGGACCAGTTGGGAGTGTTCATAATAAAGCTAGAGAAGCTGCTACAAATTTGATGAATCAAAATACACATATTGAAACGGCAGTGAGGAAACACCCCAACCAAGCTCGTAAGGCTTATCGCACATGCTTGAATGCATCAATCAAGTGCACTAAGTTTTTATTGTGACAAGGTCTTGCTTTTCGTGGCCATGATGAAAGTGCCACTTCAAGCAATAAGGAAAATTACTTGGAGCTATTGCAATTCCTTACAGATAATGATGATAAAGTTAGAGAAGTTGTGATGGAAAATGCTCCGAGGAATCTCAAATTACTACCTACTTGCATTCAAAAAGAAATTGTGAATTCATGTGCCCTTGAAACACTTGATGCTATCATGGATGGTCTAAAAGATATATTCTTTTCAATATTGGTGGATGAAGCACGTGATGTGTCAGTGAAAGAGCAAATGGCTATGGTGTTGCGTTATGTGGATGACAAAGGCATGTAATTGAAAGATTTGTGGGTATCCAATATGTTACCGACACTATTTCAAGTTCACTAAAGGATGTTATTGACACATTCTTTTATCGCAATAGTTTGAGCCTTTCCAAGCTACGAGTTGAATGGCCTTAAAACAAAAATATTGAGAGAACAACCTTGTGCATATATTATGTTCATTGCTTTGCTCATGAACTTCAACTAGCTCTTGTTGCCATAGCAAAGAAGAATATAGACATTGCCCCTTTTTTTACAACGGCTAATAGTGTGGTTAATCATGTTGGAGCATCTTGTAAGCGGCGTGATTTACTTAGAGGGCAACTCCAAGAAGAGCTTGTGATAGCTTTTGAAAATGATTGTCTTATAACAAGGTGAGGCTTAAATCAAGAAACAAGTCTCAAACGTGCCAGTGACACACGATGGAACTTGCACTATGTTACCTTGATTAGCATCATTTCTATGTTTTCATCTATGGTTTATGTTCTTCAAATGGTTATTGATGATAATACCAATGATAGTGCGGGTGAAGCAAATAAGTTAATGAGAAAAATACGTACTTTTGAGTTTGTATTTCACATTTTCTTGATGAAAGCCATATTGGGACTCACAAATGATTTGTCACAAGCATTGCAAAGGAAAGATCAAGAAATTGTGAATGCAATGGTTTTAGTGAAATCATGCAAGGAAAAGCTACATTGGATGAGGAACAATGGGTTCGATGCATTGGTTAATGAAGTATCTTCTTTTTGTGACAAACATCATATTGATGTTTCTAACATGGAAGAGGCATTTATACTTCCAGGGAGGTCAAGGCGTAATGCTCTAATAAAGACAAATCATCATGATTATCGTGTGGAGCTCTTTATTTATGTTATTGATGAGCAAATTACGGAGTTAGAGGATAACTTTGATGAGGTAAATACCGAGTCGCTTATTTGTTTGGCATGTTTGAGTCCGAAAGGTTCATTTGTAGCTTTTGATAAACCGAAGTTACTTCGTCTTGCTCAATTTTATCCACAAGACTTTTCGGATGAAGATCGTTTAGCACTTGAAGATCAACTTGAGATTTATATTCATTATGTGCGTTCCAGTAATGATTTCTCTCAATAGGAAGGGATTGATGATCTTGCAAAAAAAAAAGGTGGAGACAAGGATGCATCAAGTATTCAATTATGTGCATTTGCTCATTACATTGTCTTTAGTTTTACCGGTTGCAACTACTTTAGTGGAGATGGCATTTTCCGTCATGAATATTGTTCACTTCGAAACAAAATGGGAGATCAATGATTGAGTGATAGCTTGATTGTTGATATTGAGAGAGATATTTTTGCTTGTATTGAAAATGAAACTATAATACTACGTTTTCAAAATATGAAACCTCGTCATGGACAATTATAGTTTGTAATGTTGTTTCTGTTATGAATTATGAATGAAAGTACTATGATTTCATTTTTAATATCTTTTTTCCATCCTAAATTTTTATTGGGACTTTTACACTAAGACTCCTTGTGGTAGGATTCCTGGCTCCACCACTGGCTATAGTGGGAGGATGTAAAGGCTTGTAATTTTACATTGGCCACCGTATGTGTATAAAAAGATGTTGAGTTACATCCATTTTTACGCCCATTTTGTGGACCCCACAAGCAAGAATGAGGAGAGACGAGAGAGAAGAGCATCTGAAAAGGTGATTCCACTCTCCATGTACATGCAAGTAGAAGGATACTTTCCAGAAAAAGGAAAGTGGTGGGCCACATGGAAGATAAAGCGCAAATGAGTTGCCCAAATTATTTCTTTTTGAAAATCAATGACCCATATTTAATTGCATTTGATTAACACACACAAAATCAAATATACATTTTTCCTATTGGGACAAAAATCACATTTACATTCCCTGGAGATGTAAAGGGGATGTAAAAGTGGCTTTACACCCCCAAATTTACACACCATCATTGTGGATGCTCTAAGAGCTCATTTGGGAGTGATTCTGAATGGGCCAATAATCACTTTTATGGAGAATCACTTCTTCATATAATCATTGTAAGTGGTAATAAGTGATTTTATGGGAAAGCACATGGAAGGTAATTCTCCCCAAAAGTGATTATGGTCTATCTAGAATCACTTAAAATCATTAAAAGTGATATATGAAGAAGCACATGGTAGATGCTTCTCCCCAAACGTGGTTCTGGTCTATCTAAAATCACTCACAAATGAACCCTAACCATGTGACCCACATGCCAATTAAAAATAAGAAAATACAGGAATTAATGCATTATGTTGTTAATGTATTGCAATAAGCTAACCATGGGACCCATATCTCTATTTAATTGCATTATAACTTTCATTGACTATATTTTTGAAATACAAAATCCAAATATACAAGTTTAGCATAAAAATAAATTATTTTTTTTCCAAATATATTCAAAATTTTCAATTTTTAAAGATCTCTTTTGAGAATATTTAAATGTTACAATTTTTAGTGTTATTAAATTTATCTATTTTATTTTATTTGAATATTGAAAGAAACATGTAAGTAGATATAACTACTAATCTTAAGCTATTGAACTGCATTATTGCAAGTAAAAATGCAGTTCAATTAAAAATTATCTCATCTCACAAGCCAAAAAAATCCCTAGCCCCTATCTTCCTCCTCTATCTTCCGTCTCAACCTTTCTCTCTCTTTGTGTATCCCTTTTTTTTTCTCCTCTTTCCTTCCCTTTCCTTTCTCATGGATCTTGGTTTTGTTTTTTGTTTTGTTGTTTCTGTTGCAAGTTTGGTTGCAATTTTTTTGGTTTGGGTGTTTTTTGCTTGGTTATAATAAAAGTTACCGGTGGTGCTATCTATCCCGGCAGAGACGGCAATGTCAACGTCGGTAGAGATAGTAACTGTTGCTATGCTGGTTCATATGTGATGTGGAAGTAGACACCACGAAACACCATTGTTGCCATGATTTAGTTGCCACTTTTGGTCCACATATACAAGGTTTTGGCTCCAATTCAGTATTTGGAGTTATAATAATGAAAGTTACCGATTTGTATGGGTTGAGGTTTAGCCAGTGTGACACTAAGGGTTTAACCAGTATGACATTGTGGATTTCTTTGGTTGTCGGAGAGGATGTGGAGTAGTGTTTCTGTTGTTTGTTTTAAGTATATTACTCATTAGGAGTTTGCTGTGTTTTGTATTCTAGGTTTCGGCTATAATACAAATATGTAGTTTTTGCCGTTGCACGGTGGAGATGTATTGTTAGTCTGAGTATGAGTCCTTCGAAATGCTGAATCAAGGCGTTGAGTATTTGTTGATTTAGGCGTAATTCTCCATATCAAATGAACATGTTGTTGGATTTGGTCACTAGAGATATTGTACCCATTTTGGCTCTTTTATGGCTTTGTACTATGATATGTTTCATCAATAATTACTATCATATTTTCTCAACAACAAAAAATGCGTTCAATAGATGCCAAAATAGTTCAATTGATTGAACTATTTTAGATGCAAAAATACTCCTTTAAGTATGAACAATCATTGTAAATTCTCTTAGAAGTGTAGACTGAATATAGCTAGTTTCTTATAGACTTTATAACAATCAACATAAATCTAATATGAATTTAGTGAAAGCCCAAAAGAAGCAGCCCGCTCTCAAAAACACCCAAAATCTTTTCAAAATGATGAAAAAAGCCCATTATCTTTCACATCAAGAACATGCAAATCTTATAACTCTTTCCTCCATCGAAAACCACCATTAGCATGTGAAGAGACCAGACCTACATGTGAAGATTTTGTCTTCAAGCGACCATACCATGTGAAAACTTTATCACTTTTTCTTTGTACAACAGTGCTAGAAATAATATTTTTGTTTCTTTGTACATATTTTTTAGTGCATTTTGTCTTAAAATGCATGAGAATCATTTGTTTACCATCAGTTGGCATGTGAAGTGTGTATGAAAGTTCAAATAGATAGAGAGGCTCCTCTTCTCATCCTTAGTCATCCTTAGTAGAAAGGCTCCTCTTCTCATCCTTATCCATTCTTAGCAGAGTCGGTGAATATGTGTATATAGTTTTCTAACTCCAAAGAGAGAAGAAAAAATCTCAGCACTTTCTCCTTCTGTTTTCAATCAATAAACTCCTTTTGTTCATATACTTTCTCTTATTATACTCTTACTCCGACTATTGTTAATACCGCCGACCATCGTTAATACCCGTTCATAGCAGTTCCAACAACAAAAGCAATTAAGTAAGTATTTTTCTCTTTTATTTTGGTTTTCTTAGTAGACTTATTGTCCAAAATAGGAAAACGTTTTATAATTATGTTATTATCTATTGGAAATTTAATATTAACTAATATTAGTTTTCCTATTTGAATGAAAATTAATAAAATTCATTGGGTTAAAGACATGACCCTTGGCTTAAAGACATCTTCATATGGGGGGTGACAACTCTTCAAACCAATGGATGCATTATTTGGGGGGTGACAACTCTTCACACTAATGGATGCATTGTTTGCCTTTTTCATATTAGGATACCTCTTTGGAAAGGGTATTTCATAATCTATAAATAGAGCAATTCTCTTGCAGTTTTATTCATTCGATCAATTCTCTACATACATACTTTCATAAATAGAGAGCATTAGAGTTTTCATAAAGAGAGGTTCCTGCATAATTTTGGTTCAAAATTCCTTGCGAATTGTAGTGCTTCTTTCATAAGGAGGGGAGTCATTGTATCCTGGGAGACGAACGCTAGTGAACCATAAGCACCAGTGTGGGGCGTAATTCGTTATAAGGTCAGAGTGTCCAACACTTGCCTCGACTCAATTAAAGTTCTTTTAATTCCATTATGCTCTTGTAAAAATCTGTTTTGTTTGTAGTGTTTATTTATTTATTTTATAGCAATTTAGCACTCTTATTTCCTACATTATCTTGCTAAACTGATGATCAATACTTTGTTTGAGCATTTGGTCATGTTTGATATTTATCATAACAATAACTAGATGTTTGTCAGGGAACCTCTGAGTTTAGAAGACCTCTGAGCTCTGCACCATAGCCCTTTAAGTTGGCGCTTTTGCAATTCCATATTCTAGGAATGGTGTCTGGTTGTTATTTTGACCTTTAGAAACCTTGATCGAGACCCTGCGAAAAAAATATGGTATTAGAGCTTAAGTTTAGCACTTTAATAATATAATTATAACAGTAAAGTACCTTGAGGACAGAAGTCAATCAACACAACTGATAAAAACTAACATTTAATAACCTGTTAAAATTTTGTTAATCACCAAAATCACCAGTTAAGAACAATGAACCTTTTGCATGTTTAGCCCTTAGTGGATGTTGTGTTAACTAGCAACTATACGGGCCAATTAGTAGTATAGCAAGATAAGAACGAGATCGTATCCACGAGGATTGAGAAGTTTAGATTAATTATGTACTTAGATTACCCAATTCTAGAAACAAGAAGTTAAGTCTAAAACAGATTTTAGAGTGAGATTGAGTTTGGAAACAAATGAAGCGAAATGAAATTGGAATTTGAAGTGAGAGTGCTTGTGATTATGAAAACAAATCAACAAAATGAAATTGCAAACGAAAGCAAGTAAACAAGTGTAACAAAGAGTGGTCTTAAGGGTTGGAAAAGAGTGGTCCTAACCTTTTATTAATAATTTCCTAATTAGATGCTTGTTGTCAAACCTAAATTAAGCATTAAAATCTATTAAGCATAGAAGAATGTTTTAAACAACCAAGCATGTGTCTAATTTCTGTTGTCGAATGTCCATACATACTCTCCCTATTCATAGTTCAATTCGAATTAAGGCATATGATGTCTACTCAGAATTCCAACCAAGATACACAAATCTAAATGGTAGATAGGCATTCCGATTAGCATATAGGCAAGTAAGCATAATGAATAGGAACATGAATCATGAATCAAACTTGAAACTTGAAATTTATAAACCCAAAATATTCATGTTAGTTTACATCAAAGCCCTAGTTATGGATTTAGCTACTCATAATGGGAAAGAAACTTAAACAAAAATAAGAAAACATAATGAATGTAATAAGAGTAGAAAAATCCTTTTATGAAGTTCTTGTGGTGTCCAATGCTTCTCCAAGAGCTTTTCCAAGTCT